TTAATTTATTGGGCAGACAAACCCAAGTAATGGTTGCTATGCTAGTGAAATTGAAAACGGTTGAAAACGTCGTGATGTTCGCACGACTTCTTCTCTTACCATGGTACGCGCTGAAAAGTGACACATCAGTGCGACATAGGCAAGGCCTCTCCTTTTTGCCCCCATCTATTCGTGTAGGTGCGAAGATACGTTTGAAGCTCAGGAACTTACTTATTGTTGTACTCCATCGCTTCCTTGAGTGCATGAAAAGTTGCTGTGGTTCACCCTTATAGTTACAGAACGGATAGTGGTAGTAGCCCCAGCGCGCTTTGGGACGAAGATCTTGAGCTACCTTCAAAGTTTCCACGAAGAAGTTCCTGAAGTTTTTCATAAAACTACCGCAGTATCTTATCTTATGCATTAAAATTATTGATTTTGTATACAATTGAGCAGTTCAGTTTGTAAAGCCAAAAGTTGTTTTGAAATCTCAATATTGTTTATGCATATTTAGGGAATAGGATCAAAGAGTAATTAAGAACGGAGTTGAGTCTCCCTTTCGCACGTGTCCATAGACAGAGACTAAACTAAAAGGTCGCACCTAACGACCAGAAGCTGTGGAAGGCACCTCGCATTCCCAGAAGAAGGGATACAATTATTGCGTAGGATATTGAATTTATAACAAATAAGTACAAGCCTTATAATGGAACATAGAATTCCGCTGCCCACGGAAACGAGGAACTGATACGTTCCCCTTTTCTGCGAATGCGAGGTGCCTTCTGCATCGTTAGGTGCGACCTTTTCACCTTGTGGAGAACGAGGCGCTGACTAAGTAGGTGTTACATGTAGCAGGGCTAAAATTGCAACTTCTCGTTGGTTCCGGACTGCGATGCGGTTGGTATTAGGGTATCCTAAAAGTTCGAGTCACTTTTTCAGGGTCCGCTGTCCGACGGTGGGGCATCTGCTGCTGCAACGTGCTAACGAAACAAAACGTTATTGACAAAACAGAACATGTTAGAGCCTGTCGTATATACTGAAGCTCTCCACTTAGCAAACTAAGACATGCCAGAACATTGTACGTTATCTCTGGGCAGGAAGCTGAAGCAGCCCTAATACCTCTTTTCTCTTTCTTTTTTTCCACATCCAGAAAAAGTGGCGCACCACAAGATATCGGGCTTTCCCAAGGACTAAGCCTCGGGTGGTGGGCAGGAGCTACGAAAAAGATGAAAATCACTCACTCTGGAGTCTCCCCTTCCTCCGCCAAGGCTTAGTCCCTTTTCTAACAGAAAACAATCGTTTGACGCGGTTTTACTTACGTGCGTTATCGTCGCATGCTCGCATCTCTTGCGATAGGGCCTTATTTTGTTTGTTTTGTTGTTTTGTTGTTTCTTCGAAGCTTTAGATGAATGTTGGTTCTTAACATGTTCTGGTTTGTTTGCTGTTAGAAGGCGTTGCTCTTTTTGACACGTTTTGTTTCGTTAGCACGTTGATGCCCCGCCGTCGTATAACAGACCCAGTAATAATCTTACGGCCGAAAAACATGATTCTGAGAAGAAGCTCTCAATTTCACTGCCCTTTTCAGCTTACATCCCGTCCTTCTCACGATTAGTGCACGGCATCGCCGCTTTGGTCGATCGTTGGCAACATGCTGACAGTGATATACTGATGATAGAACTTGCTTTTCATTGAAATAATGTAGAACTTGGTTTTTCTTGATATAATGTTTATTTAAAAAATTGTTTGAAAGTGGCTCGAACTTTGGAACCATTAGTATAATACAGAAAGGGATACTAACCGACTTACCAAGTGAGCAGTTCTTATACATTACAGAAAGATACGTCTTTGCCTAAAGCGACCATATATTGGGCACACTCCCAGTAACATGCATTCTTCATCAGGATATCATGTTTTTGAATCTTTTATTTCATATGAACCTTTGAGCCAAATTATGCTCACCGTGCGGCTTCGTTGAAATCCCTTCGGGCCAGAGCCTCTGCCAGCTTCCTTGTAAGCCTGGGATCCTCGGCCATCACAAGCTTCACAGATTGCTCTTTGTAAACCTGCAACGCGCAAGCGATGATATTAATTGCGAAGAAAAGATCAAAATCCAAGGGGTTTTTTTTTCAAAAAATCCATGTTTCGGCGATTTATGCTGGACGCTGCAAATTTCGAATTGCACTACCGTGTTCCCAACGCGCAAACGTTCAGCACGATGTAAAGGGAAATTTAAACCTTCAAAAAGTTCAGAAACGGAGAACAGAAGTGGCTTTGACACAATATGTCTCGGGAGCAGTTCAGCGGCCCCATTTGGCAGGTTTCAGAATGGTGCCATTCTTGACAGTTTGCAAAAAAGGCGAGGAATTTCGAGGACCCAACTTTCAATGTTAACCCGGATTTGATTGGTGATTTCTCAGTTATATCGGGTCATTTTTTGCGCATATCTGACGATCGCTGGCATATTCCCTTTGCTGACGATGAATGTGCGGTGAGTTCTCTTGGTAACAGATAGGCTTGGACTTGTTGATGAATCTGTACAGAAAACCCGGCCAGTCTTCTTCTCCACAATATTTTTGTGTGTTCAGTAACGTGAATCGTTCAAACTCATTGCACTTTCATCATGGCAGTTTTCTTGCACTCCGGGATGATTGCTCTACCTAGAGCGACATTTTTGCTCATGAGTAAATACCTTTCCCTGCAACATTTAGGAGATACGCCACGCATTCGCTTTTGGTAAAAAATTACATGGGCATCAAAAGAATATTGTTCTCCATCATTAGTTATGATGGTTAGCCATTCACTCCACGCCATTTTGATGAGAGCAAAATCTCGAAGTACAAACTAGTTTCATTACTGTCTCTAACATACGTTCTGGGCTTACGACTCCCCCTTCTCAGTGAAGCGAATACGACCCCTGTTGAATCCGGCTGAAGGGACGGTTCACACTGCTCGGAAGGGGGAAGGTTAACACCTCCTATCGATCGACGTCACTCATAGAAATGGTACACTACACTACACCAGTGTAATGCTACCAGCTATTTACGGGTGTATGTCAACAGAATCGTCCGGAGCCCCTCGCTACTGGTCGTGGTCGCGACGTCGCGACTGCAGTGGACGAGTTTCTGCGAGCGTCATTTGAACTTGAAAGGACACAATTCGACCCGTCCCTTTACCAGTCAGTTTCAACTGATGCGCGGATAGTTTTAGTTCTCTAGGGTACCTTTTCCGCTTTTTTCATGTTACATAATACCTAGGGAAAGAAAACTTGTTTGTTAAACCTCTTGGTAACACTTCCAGATTCGCTTCGATATCCGCGTTCCACATAGATTATCGTGGGCTGCAATCGTCAAATTCAAAAATTGCCGCGCCCATCGGAAAAGTGCCGCGTTGCGACGCCGCGTAAGTGGCCACTATCGGATGATTCTGTTGACCGCTCCCCGCTATTTACACCTAGTGTTGTCTGACATCCTTATTCGTGTAGCGCTTGTTCACTTCTCAGAAATGTGTTTGCGAGTTACCGTAGCGTTTTTTTAACGCAGCGAAGTGACTTTGAAGTTCCGTTATGGCTGACAAGAAAGGAGTAAAGAATGGTAGACGCAGACTCACTTTCTTCTTTCCCCAGTTCATCTCGTAGAGCGGGCGCCATGCTTCGAAATCGATCACAGCGAGTCCAGGAAACCACGGATCAGGAATTTTTATCAAAATTTGCTTGATGACCTCATGCAAATGACGAGGCAGTGAAGCATTCTGCAAAGAAAATAAATAAAGGAAAAGGATAAAGCATTTGCCGTTGATCAATCCCTTTTTGGGATGCGGCACGCATTCTACTTCCATTTGTACATTCGTAGTGGCGTTTGAATGCGATGTGGCCTATTATATATCCTACCTGAGGTAACCCTCCATTGACTGGTTGATTTGGGTCTGAGTTATTGTAATACGGGAATAATCCAAATTGCGTTTCATAGAAAAGAACAATTTTTTCGCCGAAAAATTTCTGGTCTGAAATGGAAAAATTTCAGTCGAAAATGACAATTCACGGTCGATTGCTTAGTAATATGTGGCATGGTAGTGAATACGAAGCTTGATGCTACCTCTGTTGTGGACGATATCAAACTGGCTAAGAGGTATGTCGACTTTCTTCTTCTCCTGACAGCGGTCACTTGCAACGTTCCAGAAAGCCTTTAGTTGAGAACTTTATAACAGCTCAATATTTTTTCCGAAATCGCTCACCTTGAACACAGTTTGGGCCTCAATAGAGGCCATTAATAGGTAAAGGGAGGACAGTAAACACAAGCGAAGGAGGATTGTCATTGCGTTGAGTTGAACGCAACTGGATTGGGCTAGCTTGTACGAATTTTATATAGAAGACTTTGCGGAAATGAAACTCAAAAACGCCTGCATTTTTTGACTCTTTCTTTTTTCTTTGAGCTAACATTTTGTGTCATTCCGTTGTCATACGTGGACCAACGTTTTTAGTCGTCGTGCGCACAATAGCACCCTTTTCGATGTATATCTTGGGGCGCAGGAACGGTCCAATTAATAACTATTTACACTGGTGTGCAAAACTTAAGGACGAGACAGATGAAGTATCATAACCTTTTGATAGCTTTGTGGACCGTTTAACGGTTCCTGTTAACTGCTTTCTTTAGTGCCCTGTGACAGCTCTTTGTATGTGTGGTTAGGTTCCATAGAGTCATGTTACGCGCCAGTAACACGTCGTTGGAAAAGCTACGTTCGTCGTCCCTAAGTTTTGCACACCAGTGTATTATTGGATACAAATTGTGTCTGTCATATGTCCTCTAAGGCATTGCCACGCAAGTGCTTTTCTCAATAGCTTCATGGCCGCCTAATAAGCGTCCACCAGGGGCCAAGGAGCCTGCAAGTCCAATCTGTTATGGACAAATACATTAGTGTTGCAGAGAAAAAGCATAAAACAAATACATGGCTTAAGCCTGGAACCCGCTGTGTCTCCTTTTGGCGCAGCACCTTCTCTCAGGACTCATTCAGAGTACTGGAATATTTACTCTACTCACCCCAAATTCTTCAGTCTCAAAATTCTGAAGCACAGTTA